GGCAGGGATTCTCTCACTCCCTCCCCCTGCATTTTCTAAAATGAAAAAAAAACTTCGTGTTTCTTACCAATCTTAGTGCCGTAAAAATTGCTAATTTGTGTTCATTTTTGGTTATAAAAAAAAAAAAAAGCGGTAATGGTGTAGTGTAAAGCGCTCGCTTCATAAGCGAGAGGCTCCGAGTTCGACCTCCACCACGCCCCTGGTAGTACCGCGATCAACTTGTTTCTCCGTAAAGCCTTGTTCGTCAAGGTTCGTGTTTTGGAGTTATATAGTAGAGAGAGGGTTATAACCACAAATAAGTAGCCTCCTTATCTGTAGTGGCCTTCTCGGAAATAAATTAACATTAAAAAAGACTTGAAAAAAAAAAAAAATTTTTTTGTTTCCTAAGCGATACGGTTTCAATATAAAACTTATTTTTTGGTGATGTTTGGTCACAGTTTAAGAAAAACTATTCACTACTTGTTTGTACGGTCTCGGAAAAAAATCACAATTTGTCAGTACTATTAAGGTGAAAAAAAAAAAGGAATTTGATAAAATTAATTTTGATAACAAAATTAATTTTATCAAATTCTACTCAAAATTTTACTCACATTCTATCAATAGTAGTCAATCTTTTTGACGTTACTTTTTTAAATTATAACTTACCCCATGTTACCATAAGTTACAATCAAGTTACGTTAAATTACGCTCAAGTTAGCGGTAACTATAATCAACGCTATAATTAACGCTACTAAACTAGAATAATTACATTTGATATTAATAAAAGAAATCAGTCGGTATTTTTTTACCTAATCTCTTCTCACCATCAAATGAAAAAAAATAGATTTTTTTATACACTCTGTTCCGCTAGATACAAAAAAACTTTGATTATTATAATTTAATATTAGCAAAAATTTCGAATAAAGTATCCACCGATAGCTCAGTTGGCAGAGCGGGAGACTGTAGAATTAACATTGATATCTCTAGGTCGCTGGTTCAAATCCGGCTCGGTGGACTTTTTGTTCGAAGACTTTCGCTTTACGACATTTTTTTTAATTTGCGCATTTTCGTTTTTATTTTTTTTTAGTTCAATAAAATTAAAATAAAAAACATTGTAAATTTGTTTTGATTTTGTTAAATTGAAAAAAATAAAAGCACAAGTTACGAAATTCCTGAAAAACTTTGTAAAAAAGTGAAAAAAAGACTTCATGCCAAATGTCCACCGAGCCGGATTTGAACCAGCGACCTAGAGATATCAATTTAATTTCTACAGTCTCCCGCTCTGCCAACTGAGCTATCGGTGGATGTTAACTTAACATTTGTTGTTGATATTAAATTAAAAATTAAAAAAAAAAAAAATTTAATTCAAATAAACTAATCATAATTTTTTTTAACTAATAAAATATATTATTATAAAAATATATATATAATATATATCAGGCCCATTAGAACAAAAGTTATATTTGGGGGGGGGGGGGGGGAAGGGGAAGGGGTAGGAGCGCAGAGCTAGATTAAGGGGCCCCGAACTTGTTTTAAGGACCTTTTTTTTTAGTCATTTTTTAGTCAATTTTTATCAAAGTTATTTATTTTAAAAATATTATATATATATATATATATATATATATATATATATATATATATATATATATATATATATATATATATATATATATATATATATATATATATATATATATATATATATATATATGTATATATATATATATATATATATATATATATATATATATATATATATATATATATATATATATATATATATATATATATATATGTATATATATACATATATATATATATATATATATATATATATATATATATATATATATAATATATATATATATATATATATACACATATATATATATATATATATATATATATATATATATATATATATATAGTAGTAGTAGTAGTAGTAGTAGTAGTAGTAGTAGTAGTAGTAGTAGTAGTAGTAGTAATAGTAGTAGTAGTAGTAGTAGTAGTAGTAGTAGTAGTAGTAGTAGTAGTAGTAGTAGTAGTAGTATATTTGTTACAACAAAAGTAAAAATAATTGACAAAATACAAAATACAAATTAAAGATTGTCAGATTATAGTTAGTTTTTGTTAAGATTATATTGCAATTTTCACTAAGGTAAGCTGCGAGCTGTAGTAACATAGAGCTTTCCAGTTAGCGCAGATCGTTTTTAAAACGTTTAAAAAACGTTAAAATCAGTTCTAATAAGTTTTTTAAACGTTTTAAAAACGTCTTGTGCTTCCTGGGTTATCGAGGCTCGCTTTAAAGCTGTTGAAAGTTGGTAAATTGATTACTTTATCTTGTAGCATGTTCCATGTATTGACAATGCAATTGTTAAAAAGTGCAAGCGAGCTAAATGGTTGTTGTACTTTTCACGATGAAGTCTTTCTCTGTGATTTGCTCTTGATGGAATTGTGATGAGGGGAACGTGCCAGTTGACTATGTCAATGTTATTAACAATTTTGTATTTTTGAACTAGAGTATATAGGCCAAGTTGTAAACATCTGGACTGTAGTCTAATGTAGTCTAACTTTTTTTTTAATGAAGTCAAACTTTTTCATTTTGTCTGGTCTTTATGTGGCTCTGCCCTGTATTAGCTCAATAGTTTGTTTATCCTCCACTTAATGAGGGTTCTAAGCTGGAATCGCAAACTCAAGTAAAGGACGGATGTAGGTGGAGTAGAGTTGTTTCCATAAAGAAGCATGGGGTGGGGGGAGCTACACCCACGCCCCCCTAGAACGGTCTAACGGCGCCCCCTAAAACAATCAAAAAAAATTATTATTATAAGATCAAATTACTGACGACAACCCTGGTCGCCACTATTCATTGACTTGGCCCCCCGCGATACTAAACCTCAATCCGCCACTGATCACAAGATTGGAAAGTGTGTTTTAGGATGCCTAGCATTTTATTTGCTTTACATGAGGCAATGATGGATTGGGTTTTTACTTCAAAGTCTATAATATAAATATTAGATTCTTTTTTATTTTATTAAAAACTAATAAAAAATATTGTTATATATATTTTTTTTGACAGCAAACGTTTATAAAAAATCGTTTTGGCGACAAATAAATGAAATGGACCTACGCAAAATCTCCATCGAGCCGGATTTGAACCAGCGACCTAGAGATATCGATCAATCAACTACAGTCTCCCGCTCTGCCAACTGAGCTATCGATGGTTACCGCATAAGGAAAAATATTGATTTTTTTTTGTCCAACAAATATTGCATAAATTAAAGTATTAATTATAATCTGCTAATACAGTAGCGTAGTAAGGGTCCGCAACCGCAAACAAATATATGTATATATATATATGTATATATATATATATATATATATATATATATATATATATATATATATATATATATATATATATATGTATATATATATATATATATATATATATATATACAGGGCCGGCGCGAGTAGGTGTCACGTGGGGGGGGGGGGGGGGGCCATTACAACTTTTGCCGACTAAAAAAAAAAAAAAAAGGTCCTCGTTTTCCAAAATTTGCCGACTGTCATAACGACATTTGCTGACTCTCTAACCTATATCGAAAGGGTCGACATTTGCCGACTAACTAGTCTAAAAGGGTCCAATTTGCCGACTAAGGGTCCAGTCGGATGATTCACCTCATTTCCCAAACCAACAAGAACTTGATGACATAGTACGAGATTTAGGTCTCACTAAATCAAATGCAGAACTTCCTGCATCACGTTTGAAAGAATGGAATTTATTAGATCCAAGCTGCAGAGCCTCAAAATACTGAAAAAAACATTTGCATCCTTTTATGAAGTATCAGAATCACTGTACTACTGTCATGGCATTTGTGGTCTTTTTGGTGACATTGACATTGTTCACAATCCTGATGAGTGGAGGTTATTCATTAACAGTTCGACAAAAAATCTAAAGGCAGTTTTGCTCCATCGATTTTCTTCAACTCCATTTACTTATTCCGTTCATCTAAAAGAAGACTACAAGAACGTGAAGTTGTTGCTTGAAAAAATCAACTTCGAAAGTTACAAGTGGGATGTATGTGGAGACTTTAAGATGTTAGCGTTTCTTCTTAGTCTACAAAGCGGATACACAAAATACTCATGTTTTCTTTGTTTATGGGATAGCAGGGTTGCGGACCAGCACTTCACGAGGCATGAGTGGCCAGTGAGAAAATATTTACAGCATCCCGTACGAAAATTTCCCATGGGAATTTTAGAAAAAAAACCCATGGAAAAACCATGGGCATTTGGAACAAGTTCCCATGAAAAAGCCATGAGTTTTCCATGGAAAAACCATGAGTTTTCCATGGAAAAAACATGAGTTTTCCATGGAAAAACCATGAGTTTTCATGGGAAACACATGAATTTCCCATGAAAAATCTTTAAGTTTTTCATGGAAAAGTGTTCCAAATACCATGGATATTCAATGATTTTCCATCCATGGAAAAACCATGGAATTTCCATAGGTATTAGGAACACCTTTCCAAGGAAAACTTATGGATTTTTCATGGTAAAAAAGCATGATTTGTTTTCAAGTTTTTTTATCTAATATTATTTGAATTGTCATATTAAATCATAAAAGCAAATTTTATCCCACTATTATTGAGTTCTCTTAATCTATGAGATCGCTTTCTCCAAATAAAATCAATAAACAAAATAAAATTTAAATCTTGTTAAATCCTACAAATCTTTGAAAAATAATAGCTATAATGCACCTAAAACATCAAAACTTGACTTCCCCACAATATTTAATGCATGCATATGTATAACATACTGAAAATAAATAAAACAAAAAATTACAAGTAATATAATACTATAAGTGATATACATAGTGATAAACAATTGAAATTTATCAAGAAAACAATTTTTACAGAAAATAAAACAATTTACATGTTTATTATTTTATATTAACTATTTGATAAAAATAGTATATATAAATTTGATAATAACTTCAAGTTTTAACAAGTTAAAAAGAACCATCAATACAACATATTTAATTCAAAAAAACATCAAGCCCATTTATAAATGCGTCTGTACTGTATCTGTAGAAACAGGTAGATGTTAAACAAAGTACCATTCACATATTAATATTCATTTTTTTTTCACCCTAGTTAGTCTCATTCTCCATTTCACCAATCTAGGCAATACATCATACAACTATTATATACATTCTAACTAGTTTTCTTTATTTACTAATTCATTTTACTTATAATTATTATCTATTATAACTTACTTTATAATTAGGCATTATACACAATTATGAATGTTGCCAAATGTTAGGTAACATATAGAAAAAAGTAGCAATGAATATATCATTATTTATAAATACAAATTATTAGATTGTTACCTCTTTTTTGCCTAAGCTATCTGCATTATGTACAACATCGTTTATATTTCCAGTCAAACATTCCTGCCTATAACGTAACTTTATTAAAATGATTTATTCAAACTAATACATATATAAATGTTACCTGCATGTTAGAAACATTTATATAGAACAAGGCAGCAACAAATATTATATTATATATTTACTTTTGTAATTAAAAAAAAACTTACTTCTTCTTCTGAGCTATCTGCATGATGTACAACATCATTTACAAACCTGTTTTCTTCACGTCCTTCCATTTTTTAATATATTATAAAGCACAGGACTTGTTAATGAACGGCTAAATAAATAAATTAAAAATTTATATTTAAATGAAATGATAAGGTTAAAATGAAAAGATTTATACACATATATAAATTTTACCTGCATGTTAGTAACATTTATATAGAATAAGGCAGCAACAAATATAGTATAACTTATAAATTGTAATTTTAAGTAAAAACTTACTTCTTTGTCTGAGCTGTCTGCATGATGTACAACATTATTTATATTGTCAGTCAAACTTACCTGCTTATAATGCAGTAATTTAAATAAAATGATAAAGTTAAAATAAAAGAACTTACGCACATACCATTAAATTCAAAAATTTATTATATTTTTACTTCACTATTTAAAACATAACAAATATGTAATTTATAAAGTATAGTAATGTAAAAGCATAGTAAATATCAAAGTGTGTGCATAAATTAATTTATTTTAACTAAAGACGAGCACTTTACATCAGTTAAATATAAACAAATAAAAATAATTGTATTATAATAAATAATAGTGTATTATTTATAAACATTGCTTTTATATGCTTATATTTAACTATGAAGTAAAATCTTGTGCATTAAGTAAATTCCCTTACTGATACTTATAAAATATTACCACAGTTTTCCTTCTCCAACTAAGTGGTTCTTGGAACATCCATACAAGTTGAATCCCAAAGATTACGTTTATATCTTTTCTGGATTAAACTCAATTCACCATTTTATTTTGACAGCTTTTGAACTATTTTTAAAAATATTAAATGCATATAAAAACTGACGATGTTATAAACAATATAAACGATGAACAACATTATTTATATTGCCAGTCAAACCTGTTGGCTTATAATGTAGTAATTTAAATAAAATAATAAAGTAAATATAAAAGAATTTATAAACATTATTTATATTACATTATTTACATATTCTAATAATTCTAAAGAAAAAACTACAACAAAAAGACAAAAACAACTTAACAGAACTAAAATTGAATAGAACATTTATCATAAAAAAATGTTTTTTAATACTTAATGAACATTTACGATACAATAAACTTCAAGCATTTTTATGTAATCTAAGGCTATTATAAAAAAAAATAAAAAAGATCATACTAGTTATCTTTTGTACATTAGTTATCTAATCTTATTATCTTAGTTATCTAATCTTATCTAATATACTGCTTGTATAATAATATTTTAGATAAGTTTCTTTAATACGTTTGATAAGTTTTATAATAATAATTATACTAGTTTGAATGTACATTAAATTACACTATGTACATTAATACACTAGTTATTTAATGTTGTAAACCAAATAATAATTATTTGGCAAATAATTTGCCAAGTAGGCATTAAAATTCAAACTGGTTTACTTGACATACTTGCTATACTATTGCAAGTTATGCAAAGTAAGCAAAGCTACTGGAAACAGTTAAAATAAGTATATGCATAAATGATATATAATTAAATATAATTAAAAATAATCCACTTTATAATGCATTATAATATGATAAATATATCTAGTTGTTTATGTCTGTATGTTTAGTTTAAATCATATAAATGTAATGCATTATAAAAAACATATAATTCATAGCCTTATTAAACACAGAAAAACAGAAGAATGCAGTAAGTATTGTTTTCTAAAGTTAAAAATAATCATAACTCTACGAGCTATGACGCCATCTTTAAAAGCGCATTTGTAACAACCATGGCGCAGCTTAAGCTATGAAAAAAAAAAACATGGTTCACCCATGGAAATTCCATAGGATTTCAATTTTCATGAAATTTACCCATGGAAATTCCATCGAATTCCCGTTTTCCATGGGAAAACCATGGTTTACTCATGGAATTCCATGGGTTTTCCATGGAATATTTCCGTAAGGCATGGTTCACGCAATGTTATTAATCAATCCCTGATACCTGTTGGAAAGATTTTACTACCACCCCTTCACATTAAACTAGGTCTTGTCAAACAATTTGTCAAAGCATTAAACCCAGCTAGTGCAGCGTTCCAGTATATTTGGCAGATGTTTCCAAAGATGTCAGATGCAAAAATTTCAGCAGGTGTATTTGTTGGTCCGCAGATTAAAGTTATGTCGGCATGTAAGGAGCTGGAGAACAAAATGTCTGCTGTTGAAAAAGAAGCATTGATTGCGTTTAGACATGTTGTTCATAGTTTTTTAGGCTACAATAAGAATGATAACTACTAAGAGCTAGTGGTACACTTAATTGTACGCTACACAGATATGAAATACAGAATGTCTATAAAGCTGCATTACCTGCATTCGCACTTTTTCAGACCAAATTTGGGTAATGTGAGTGAAGAGCATGGAGAACGTTTTCATCAGGATATCCACGCAATGGAGAAAAGATGCCAGGGCAGATAGGATGCAGCTATGATAGGTGACTACATCTGGTGTTTGTTACGCGATGACAAAAAACTTCATAAAAGAAAACCACCTTCTACTGTTCACTTCAAGTGTTGTTTGAGATTTTAAGAGACTGTTACATTAGAACATAATGTAAAATTATGTAATATGTGTATGTAACGTGGTGCAACATGACGTTTTGTAACATACTATGACATTTTTGATCTGGTAAATGTTATATATTGACTAAAGTTGTATCTTATGCAATATTATTAATATTAATTATGTGTTTAATTGAATTTTTGGTTTTATGATCAAAAGGTTGATGCAATAAATAAACCAGTCATATTGAGACTCAGTATACTCAAATTAAATAAGAAACATCAAAAAATTTCGATAAACAGAGAAAATTTTTTTTGTTGTTACATTGTGTTATTTATATTTAAAAATTATTAATAATCTACTTTAATTCAGAAATATAACTAATATACTAACTTAGTATAAAGTATTCCCGTGGGTCGCGTGACTTTGCCAGGATAGGATAAAAATGTAAACAGGAGAGGATAAAAATGTAAACAGGAATGGATAAAAATGTAAACAAGGCCAATATAATAATAAACTTAAATTTTAGATTTATAAGAAAGCGTTTCATTGCATTTGAATCGCTAACTTGAAAAAGGGGACATGTCCTGCAAAAATTCATATAACATGTCCCCTTTTTTAGACTTAGCGATTCATATAAAACTTTATTATATCTATTATATATTAGATATTGAAATTCTATTCTCAACAGTAAAATACCATTATTTATTTACTAAAGATGGAGAATGTCATACAACATTAGATAAAATTGTTGTCCTTTGGTTAACATATATCCATTTGTAGTAGCACTTCATTGGCACTTAATTTAATTTAAACAACAATTTATTAATAATAGGTCATTAAACTACAGATATTTAGGAAAAGTGATTATTATTTCTTGATATTAGTATGATAAACATTTTAATAATAGTTATTATTAAAATGTTTATTTAACAACTCAAGTTATTTTATAAATATATAAGTTATTTTAACAAAGTTATTTTAATTGGCAGCATGTTTCTTTTTTACTTTTTTAATGTTTTTTTTTTCGTCTGCATTCTGGACAAAACCATATACCTTTTTTGTATTTTTTAAATTTTCAGACATTTGACATAAAAAATATTCAATTTTACAATGTTTATCAGTGCAACTACTCATATTATCAGCTTTTGAACTCATGCAACAGTAACAAATTTGACCTTTAACCAATAAAGCCTTTTTTTCAATGTATCCAGGATCTCTTTAATATTTAAAAATTAATTCAAAAGGATAACTTTTGTAAAAAATTCCTGTAATATGTTAAGAATTTCTTCCTTAACCTTTTTTATTGCGAGAAATTCTAATAATTAAAAAATCCTAGACAGCCTACACACAGTATTCATATTGAGTAACGAAGTTGAGTTTGTACTTGATAGTAACAAGCATGGTCTTTTTTAAGTGTTATTTGTCAATTTTTTTTTTTATATGAAGATAGCTAGTTTTGTCATTTTCAATCATATCGTACAATCTTTTATTTTTATGAATGTATGGACATTTGATTTCTATGTATATTATTCACAACTAGAACACTCAGCAATACGATCAGGTGATGAACCCATATAGCTAAAATCTACATTAATAAATAAACCTGAGTCAATAACTGTAAAGATTTTGTGGCATGCAGTCACAACACTTTTTGCAAGGTAGCATATCTTTTTAATAATAGATATTGATGGATTTTCAATATCAGTATGATAAACATCTTTCATAACAGATGCAGTTTACTCAACCACATCTAAACTGATGCTAACAACAACAACAACAAGAACAAGAGCTTGATTATAATCGTGTCATACTTTCTAATTTAACTACTTGCTCAGCTGTAAAAGTTAAACTAGGATGAATATTTTCACAATATGATTGCAACTCCATGTAATTTAGAGTTATTTAAATCGAAGAATATAAATCACTCATTAATGGTACTTTAAATTGATTAGATTATGTAGAGTATTCATCAGCATATTTAGGGATTATTATCAGGATAGCTGCTTTTGAATTTGATTTATTTAGTTTATTAAAAAACGTATTTAGTTCAATCTGTGTTGGCTTTTCAATAGCTAATTTACTAATGGTAGAACAAGTAAATGCAGAAATAATGCAATCGTTTAACTTTGTTCCAACTCTTTTTCTAATGTTCGTTTTTTGGTTATGCATCTAAAATCAATTGCACATAAATGTTTTGGTAATAACTGTGCAGAAGAATTAGGTGGTAACCAGTACGATTTATAGTCAGTTACTGTTTTAGACACTGCCATTTTAACAGTTATATCATTACAGAATAGAATTGCAGCAATATGTGCAAATGCTTCAGCGATGCCTGCCATGCAATTACGTATGTACACACTGCATATACAATCTTACCATTAAACTTTGCAACAATCCATGGAATAAGTGGGGTATTAGTTAAACGCTGTGAATGAAATACCTTAATATGTATTAAAAAATAGTTGTTTAGTATTCCTAATATAAATTATAACAGTGATAATTATAACACATATTAGTTACACAAATGCCAACTTAAATGGAGTTAAATAACATTTTAAACACACCTATCAATTATGAAATAATCAATAAAATAAAATTATATATATATATATATATATATATATATATATATATAATATATATATATATATATATATATATATATATATATATATATATATATATATATATATATGTATATATGTATATATATATATATATATATATATATATATATATATATATATATATATATATATATATATATATATATATATATATATATATATATATATATATATATATATATATATATATATATATATATATATATATATATATTGCTATAAATATCAATATATAGTCGCTGTTCGGTTAAATACGGTGATAATTCTATTACAAACCAATGCGTAAAATCGTGAAATAACCTTTTCATTTTCAATCCTTCAACTCTTTTTCACAATTTAAAACCCGTCTTTGACTTTTTGATAAAAAAAATACTCTAATTAAAATCTTAGGCTTATAATAGATTATTATTACTTTTGTTATTAGTATTGTTATTATATGTGATTAGGGATGGCAATCCTGGGATCCCGGGATCCCGAAATCCCGGGATTTTGAACAAATTGATTATCCCGAAATCCCGGGATTAGTCTCCTAAATTTTCCGGGATTTTGGGATCGTCAAAAAAAAAAGTTAATAAAGTTTAAGCTTATAATTGTAGCTAAGTAACTTGTACATCATCTTTGGTATAATAGCTGTTTGGTTGTGTAACTGTTTATTCTCTTTGCAATGTTTTCCTTT